AAGACTGCATTTTAGTAATATCCCTTGTCCCAGAAATGTCTCAATGCTGGTAGGGGTCAATCTTCATATCAATACAATCTTCACATTTTATAATGGATGTTGATTTAAATATTAATGATTTAAGCACAGGCAAGAAAGAAAGGTAAGTCTCTGCTCTGCTTTTAAGAGTGAAAATAATCTGAACCTTTAGATGGGGTACAACTGCGCAACTGGCATCAGCATGAAAACCAAGATGGCATCCTGAAGTCTGTACTGTATAAGGTATTGGGCCTTATTTGTTACAAGATCAGCAGCCCAATAGAGCAAACACTCAATGAGGACTGTGGTGATGTAGTTTAAAAGGTAAGTTTTTAAAGTTCTGAAATTTGAATAGTAGTTCATAGTGTTGAGCTATGAAATAAAGCAAAGAAATATTAATCAATGAGTATGCCCGTGTTGGAAAATGAGACTGAAAGATTTTGATCCAGTTGGTTTTTAGCCTATGTGAGTTATATTTTCCTATAAAATGTCCTGTAAAAAATCAGAAGGTTGCTACTGTGACTTCCATCACTGATAATTAATGTAAAAGGGTAAAGTATTGTTCATTATATTTCTGAGTTATATTTTTAATAAAGGCAACTCCTCCCTTGAACACTATTATTTAAGAGAGACAGATGCTTCAATCGGGTGAAATATGCATGTCTGTATGTCATTGATGTGCTATTATTTTAAGATATGCTATTTTCCACACAAATAAAGAGCAAACGTGAAGTGAATTGATGTCTTTGAGAAATTATGTGCCAAATTTAATCTTACCTGAGGATCTCTTATTCAAAAAGTTGTATGTTAGTTATAGGAAGAAGCAGGTATTAAAGAAGAAATTCAAAAGACTTCAAATTACAGTAATTTGAAAACTAACTGGAGGAGAATGACTAATACAGAAGTGAAATCCATCTTTATTAGTAAAATTAGATATTCTGTGGCTCCTAGATTAAGAGAAGCTGCACTGCAATGTACACATTTATAAAAATGTGTAAAAAGAAGCCAGCTCTCTGGGACTATGTAAGATACTACTGATATCATACAGCAGCTAAGAGACCATACTCTAACTCAAAATCTTCATCTTCTGCCATGTGCTCATTCATAACAGTACAGTGGCTCTGGGTAAATATTTTTGTCTTTCAGGATCACTCTTTTCATCTACTCCAAATATGAATGATGGTTACAGTGGTGCCTCGCTTAACGGGTGCCCCGTTTAACAACTAATCTGCATACCGATGAAGATTTTGCGATTGCAAAAGCGATTGCATAACGATGTTTTCAATGGGGAAAAATCGCTTTGCGCCCCATTTTCGCGCTGCTGATCGGCGGGGCTTCGGGATGATCGTGGGGAAGTGCTCTCTCCCCCATCATCCTGAAGCCCCGCAGATCAACTGGGCGAAAATGCCAGCTTCGGGATGATGGGGAAAGCGCTCCCCCCATCATCCCGAAGCCCGCATTTTCACCCAGCTGATCCGCAGGGCTTCAGGATGATGGGGGGGAGCACTTTCCCCCATCAACCCGAAATCCCGTCAATCAGCTGGGCGAAAATGCCGGCTTGAGCGCGGGAAAGCGCCCCCCCCCATCATCCCGAAGCCCCACGGATCAGCTGCGCGAAAATGCCAGCTTCGGGATGATGGGGGAAAGAGCTCCCCCCATCCTCCCGAAGCCGGCATTTTCACCCAGCTTGGGAGGATGGGGAGGGGAAGCCCTTCCCCCCCATCCTCCCGAAGCCGCCATTTTCGCCCAGCTCAGGAGGATGGGGTTGGAAGTTCTTCACCCCCATCCTCCCGAAGCCGGCATTTTCGCCCAGCTCTGGAGGATGGGGAGGAAGCCCTCCCCCCATCCTCCCGAAACCAGCATTTCCCCCCAGCTGATCGGCAGGGACTTTGAGAGGACTGCGGGGAAGGGCTCCCCCCGCGGTCCTCCCAAAGGCCCCATTTTTGTACAGCTGATCGGCGGTTCCAAAATGGCCATCCGCTGTGTTGCCTCGCTTTAGAGGCACCGAAAATGGCCGCCCTTATGGAGGATTTTCACATAAGGTGAGTTTTTAAGCCCATAGGAATGCATTAAACGTGTTTTAATGCGTTTCTATGGGCTTTTAAAACTCGCTTAGCGATGAAATCACTTAGCGACGTTTTTTCCTGCACGGATTAACATCACTAAGTGAGGCACCACTGTATTATGCTACTTTTCCTTATAGGACTGTTGTAGCTGCAACTTATAAGATAAGAGTGATTTAAAAGGGGTTTTGAAGTAAATTACAACTAATTTTGGGGGGGGAAAGGAGCTGCTACTGATGTTCTGTTTGGGGGGCTGTAATTTGTGAAATTTACTGTTGTACCACAGAGGAGTCTAGGAAAGCAACTATCTGTTTTCAGGTTATTTTGTCCCGTGGTATTGGAGAATTCAGGGGATAGGAATCCAAAGGGCTGGACGACACATGTGGGGCCCTCAAGGAGCTACACTTTTCCCAGTCCTGAGACCGAACACGAGGAACACTTTGAACACAGTAGAAAGAGTGTTCGTACTTCCTGCTTATTTAGTAAGTTTTGTATAGGTTTGGTTAAACCTACATATTTGTTAAATTCTGTGAAGAGTGGAAGACCTTAATGTAAGATCAGAAGATATTATGACTGTTGGACCTGCTCTGGGCGGTGAAGTGGAGAAACAAATATAATCACACTTTTAGCCTGGCTATAAGCTGACAGAGCTTTGCACATAGCAGAGCAACTGCCATAAATCCTGCCACCATCATGACTGTAAAACTGTTGCGTTAATCCAAGCAGGAAAAGGAAAGAAAACAGGTAAGCATACAAGAACAGAGATATCAAATGCACAATTAAAAAGAAGAGTACAGATAGACGATTTTGGTTTAAAAGTAGTCCAGAATGCATGTCAGCTGCAAACCTCTGTGGGATAGGTGACATACTGAATCCTTTGGGTCTGAACACAAAGGGCTCTGCCAGCAGTAACAAAATGCTATCTCCCTTTTTTCTTTCTGGAAATTCTTAAACTCTGACTGGTATCTATTCCCAGCATTTGCTTCTCTAGCAACCCTATGTACTCTTTCTTCAACTAGCCAACTGTCGGCTTGGGACAATCTGCAAGTGATCAGCTACCAGAAACATGAAGCTTTCTTTGCTCTCTTTGTTCCATGTTTGTTGGCTCAGCTTCTGGTACCATCTTTTCTTTTCCAACTCCATACTTCCTTTCCTACTCTGTACAGTGCTCTGCCTGTCAACAGACCCTCTCTGTTACTGCTAGGCCCCCTACTCTACTAGCTTGTTTTTACAATTAAAGTCATTCCTTTTCACCACAGCATTTGGTGATTGTTCAGGAGAATGCACCAGCAAGGTCTGTAATGTATGCTGCCTTTTTTACATTGTCACCTGGACAGTTTACTCAACAGTCCTTCAAAAGCTGACTGCAACCTTGTTTCCCGTGTTTCCACTAGGATCTATAAACAGGGATCATGCCTGCCTCTTTCAACTTAGCTATTTGCAAGAAGAGGCTGGAAATCTCAGCTGCCATGTTATTCTGACAACATTGGCTCTACAAAGATCCATTAATGCTTTAACTGAATGTAATTCCACCTTCACAAAGAAACTATGGGTGTAAAATAGCAGATAAAACAATCTGGGCAAAAACGTCTAACGGAATAGCCTTAGTTCCCCACACAAAATAAGAGCAGCTGCTCCCAGTAGAAAGGTATGGTACGGTGTGTGTGTTTCCTAATGGCATATGCACACAGAGCAGCAGAGTTATCAGCAGAATATATCTTAGAAGTACACAAAACCTTTTTGCTTTCAGCTAACTATATTAACACAAAACAATAAGCCAACATTGTTGTGAATTCTGGCTTATCCACAATGAACAGATTGTTAACAGACATAGTAGCACACTCACTTGGATCCTCCTCAAAATGATGTGGTTAAAGTAATCTAAACATGCCCATGTGGAATTGTGTTATGTCTAAGCTGGACGCCAGGCTTATTAGTGATTCTGGAAAATCTACAAGCCAACATCAATCTGTGACTTTTTAGAAGAAAACAAGCCAAATGTCCAGATGTAGCCACTTAGCTTTTCTGCCCTGGTGAAGTTCTAGTTATTTTAGACACTCCTGTTTGCAGGAAGAAGACCTTTTGTGCATATGCACTGACACCATGCTCAGAACAAGTAAGCCAGAATCTTCAAAATTTTATGTTAACACAGCCACTAAATATGTGGAAGTTATCTAATTCTTCTCTAGAAACTGAAAAGCACTCTATAATTGTTTAGTTCTTGTATCTGCAATAATGTAAATGATGACAATTCAATGTCTCAAAGCAAAGCTGACTAAAATAGGGTAACCAAAACTTTAAAATACATATGCAAATATTAGCAATAGAATTTGTGATCCTGTAACAGTCACACTAATATAAAAACTAAATGCAGGGCCAACATCCTGTTGCTTAGCATAGTAAAGTATAGTACAGTAGGCACATTGAATCAGCCAACTCCTCCGTAAGTTCCACTGATTCAAATGGGCCTACTCTAGTTGCAACTTACTTTAGTGTAGCAAGTCACAACTAGAGTAGGCCTGTTTGAATCGATGGGCCTTATAGAAAAGTTGATTCACCAAATCCTAATTGATTCAATGGGCCTACTCTAGTGCAATTCACTAGTTAAGCAACAGGATTTTGGCCACTCTGTTATAAGCAGCAAGTGGTTGGTGTCATTGGTCTTGGACTGTTATGGTGCCATTTTCCTGTTCAATATTTATGAAAACATGGAGCTCCAGATGTGGAAGCTGGCATGGTGATCTGCTGAGGTGTTGGCTGTATGCAACCAGGCACATGATTGGCATACTGTCAAGATTACCATGGAAACATCTGCAGTTGGAGCTCCATGAACATAAATATTGACCAAGATACTGGCCTATGCTTTGAGAACCCTGTGTTTCTGATGTCCCTAGCAATTCTCTCTGAATACTAATAAACTGAGGTACTTTCAATGAACTGAAGAAACCATCACAAAATAAATAAAACACTGCCATAATTGTAGTCACTTCTCCTCCACTAAGATGCATTTTGGTAATAAAAGATTAGGTTTTTTTTTCTTCCATACTGCTTAACACATACATCATGTCTATTCCTGTTGCAAAAATATTTCAACTTACAGATATTTTAGATTCTCAAGGTCTTCAAATGCTCCAGTTGGTATTCTTTTAATATGATTGTTGTTTAGAAGTCTAGAAAATAAATGAGAACAATTATTTGCTTCTTATGCGTTATTGAATTGTTATGCAAAAAATACAAAGCTAAAACATGCTTAAACATATTGCTTGCAAAAAGAAAAAAGAAACCATTTAAGTAACTTTGGCCCAATATAGAAAATTGATTCATGATACAATGATTTATGATATTATGTACTCTCAGACATTGTATATTTGATGCCTAATAGTGGATAAAATGGAACACAGTGAGACATGCACACATGGATACACACATTCTACTAAATCAACCAGACTGGCCAAAATGGCAAAGATAAAGAAAATAATTGCGGATATACAGTAGAATTATAGTAATCCCACATGCTCCTGTCTTTCATACTAATAGTGTAACTCTTTCACCAACATTAGACTATTAAGAACTTTGTAGAGGCTCTATCTTGTAGCAACTAAATATAAAAAACACAAAGCACTTAAGAATCCATGTGATGCAAAGATCATTTGAACAAAGACACAAAGCTTTAATAAGGTTAAAAACATAATAGAGAAAGTTGAAAAATGGTTAAGCTATATACCAAAGAGAAAGTACGTCTTGTAAACTTACAATGTATTAAGATTTTTGAGCCGTCTAAATGCACCAGGTTGGATTTCTTTGATCCTATTAAAGCGTAGATCCCTGAAAAAAAGAGAAAAGAATGTACATGAGTATAAAAATTACCACTTCAGGCCAATAGTTCAAGAAATGTAATACAAATCCTTCCTATCAAATTTAATATATTCATACTTCTCAAACCCATCCTACTTGAATTACAATAGTAATCTATTTAAAAAATCCCTATTTTGTAAACAACTGAACATATTCAAAAGTAATATGAAATAGGTTTCTAAAATGTAGCCCAGAATTAAATTGCAAGTCAGTTGCAGTCAGTGATGCACACACTCTGATAACTGTTACTCTGCTTAGGGAGGTCTAAAACTATCAATGCTGTTGTGGCAAGTCAGAGAAATATTATTTAATAAAATAGTTATACTTCCACTTCTGTTTCACATAAGAAAAAGTTGATAAAATTAAGTGCAAGGGAAACAGTATTAATCTTTACTCCAAAACTTGAAAAATACACATTTAAGAACTGTAGTTTTTCACATATAGATTGTCAAGCTGAAGTATGTAACAGCATCTCAGCTGAAGATCTTTCTGAATTATATGGATAAACTGGAAAATAAATCAGTGTGGCTTTATGCCTTGTTATGGGACACAGCCAACTTTAGTTATCTTAATTGACTAACTAAATGAGGAAGTGAGGAGGAGGAGGAGTGTACACATATTGATTCTACTTGACCTCTCTGTAGCTTTTGGCAGTCGGCCATGGCATCTTTCCAGTATGCCTGGGACAAGACTTGGGGACACCACTTTCCAATGGTTCCAGGCCTTCCTAGAGAGCCACTTTAAGAATGTGATGCTGGAGGACTCCTGTTTGATACAGTGGTCAGTGGTCTCTCATGTACTGCAGGGTTCCAGCTTTAACATATATACTAAGAGAGCTCATTTGAAGTTTGGGAGTTTGGTGTCATTGCCACCACTACACTGCTAACATCCGATTCTACACCTCCTTTCCATTTAAATCTGAGCAAGTCTGTGGTTTAAATCAGTGTCTGAAATCAAAAATGGACTGTATTGCATATTGTTGAATGCCCCTTGAGGATTCTGGTTTGCAGTTTGCATGATAGTTAGAAGCTTTCATAGCTAAGCCCAGTGCACTACGAACTGAGCCTATTCCTGCTGCAAAGAGACCCCATTTGAACTAATGTAATAGAGCACCAGAGGTGCTGGAGGAGACTCTTGAGAGTGCCCTGGACTGCAAGGAGAACAAACCTATCCATTTTGAAGGAAATCTACCCTGAGTGCTCACTGGAAGGACAAATCCTGAAACTGAGGCTCCAGTACTTTGGCCATCTCATGAGAAGAGAAGACTCCCTGGACAAGACCCTGATGTTGGGAAAGTGTGAAGGCAAGAGGAGAAGGGGACAACAGAGGACGAGATGGTTGGGCAGTGTCATCACAGCAACCAACGTGAATTTGATCAAACTCTGGGAGGCAGTGGAAGACAGGACGGCCTGGCATGCTCTGGTCCATGGGGTCGCAAAGAGTTGGACACAACGACTAAACAACAAAATACAGTATATCTCCAAGGGGCTGCCCTTGAAAAACTTTTGAACATTTCAATCATTCCAGAATACTGCAGCCAGATTTTTGCTGTAGCCAAACTAATCTCCAAATCTCTGAACTACAGAGCTAGAAGGGACCCTACTGATCACTGAGTCCAGCCCTTGTCAAAGAGACACAGTGGGGATTAAACTCCGAATCTCTGGCTCCACAAGCAGATGCCCAAGCCACCATTTTACAAGGGTCATGTACCTTCCTTGGGAGAATACTGTATATTCATTAGTTGCCACTATGTCCCCAGGCTCAGTTCAAGGTGCTGGTTGCATGATAGCTCAGCCCATTTATTTGAAATAATTTTTTTTTTCATTTATGAAACTACCCAAGTTTTAAGCTCCTTATTTTGAACCCCCTACACTTAGAAGCACATATCATTGGAACACCTGAGGTGGCTGCCTTGCTTAGTGGTTGCCCCCCAGGCTCTGAATTCCTTGCCAAAAGAAAGCCAGGTTGCCTCCATCTTTTTGGGGTTTTTCTGCCAACATGCAAGAATGCTTTTATTTAAACAGCTATTTGCTTTTCAGATGATCTGACTGTTGAAATATCCTTCAAGTAGTGGGTGCGGTTTTTTAAGATGTGTTTCTTAGGTATACATTTTTATGTTTTGATCAGAATGTTCTGTTTCATTGTTGCTAATTACCTTCAACAGTACTCTATATTAGAAAGATGGTGTATAAGTTTAATTTAAAAATACATTTCCTCATGGAAATCGGTTCTGCAAAGAGTTTAACAGACATTTTGTTTCCCCACCAACCATCATTTCTGAAACCTGAATGTGGAAGCTTGCTAAATGTATGTTGGTCAGGGATCTAAAATGTGCATGGAACAGATAAGACTTTCAATGCTTTACAAATAGGATTACACTTATGACTGACTGAAAGCAATTGTGGATTAACTGGGGAGAAACAGTCATACAAAAATGATCTCCAAATAACCAAAACAGATGGGGGATCAAAAACAAAACAGAAACAAAATTATAATGAGTATTTCAAATGTAGGGGACGTGGTGGCGCTGTGGGTTAAGCCGCAGAAGCCTCTGTGCTGCAAGGTCAGAAGACCTGCAGTCGTAAGAGCGAATCCATGTGACGGAATGAGCTCCCGTTGCTTGTCCCAGTTCCTGCCAACCTAGCAGTTTGAAAGCATGTAAAAGTGGGAGTAGATAAATAGGTACCACCATAGTAGGAAGGTAATGGCGTTCCGTGTCTAGTCGCGCTGGCCACGTGACCACGGAAACTGTCTTTGGACAAACACTGGCTCTATGGCTTGGAAACAGGGATGAGGACCATGCCCTAGAGTCAGACACAACTGAACTAAATGTCAAGGGGAACCTTTACCTTACTATTTCAAATGAGTCAATCTTTAAATGCAACTATGATCAATAATAACACAAAATATGGGGAAATATGTATACATAGCTTTCGGCAACGACAGCTGGAACACACCAGCATACCTTCCATATACTGATATCTTCAAAATCTTAGAACAGAGTAAATCAGGAAGCTTGTGGGTTTTTTTAACACTCTTTGTTCTTCCATTAAAAATGCCTAGAGGGCACACTTATCTTTATACATATGCCAAGTTTCAGACATGATATATGTATAATCCCTTCTCCTTTGTTTTTGCTTTTGTCTAGATTTGGAAATGGGTGTCACAAAACAAAAGTGATCTGTTGCAAATTCTTCACTCATGGACAGAGCAACCTATATAAAAAATTCATTGTTTCACAGTTTCATGGTGTTGTTCACTTTAGTTAAATAACTATTTGTGCATGTTATTAGAAAAGATAAAGAGATCCTACATACTGGTATTAAACACAGAGTTAAAATTAGTTCATTTGCTTATATCTTATTAACAACAGAAACTCCATTAAGATTGTGGAGAGGGTAAAACTACATCTAACAGAATTGGAGAGATAATTGGGTTACTGATAAATTGGCATGCATCAGAAATGATTATGCTTAACAAAGAGGAAAAAGAAAAACATAGAAAATAATGTTAATATTTGAAGGACTTAAGTATTTAGGTGTTAACATTCCACCTAGTTTGGTAGACTGAAAGAGGAGAATTTTAAAATATTGAAGTACAGTAATTAATAAGAAATAAGCTTGATGATTTAAGGAAAATTGAATGATCATGGTTTAGCAGAATTGCAGCATGCAAATGAAGATGCTACCCAAGATAATATTTTTATTTATGATGCTACCAATATGGATAAAGAAAGAAGAGTGTTTTTGCTCCCTTGGAAGCAAACAAAAGTTATTTGCTTTTCATAATGAGGTTGTTAGCTCTCCCACAGTAACATCCTTAGCAGATGGTTGGAACTGTACCACACAAAATATACTGAAATCCTCTTGGTGTATCTATGCCTGTAGAAGGCTGATGGCATCATCAAAAGAGGTTGATGATAACATAATCCCCAGCAGCAACTTCTCATAATTAGATTTTCTGCTCACACCCCACAGTTCCACACAATGAAAGAGTAACATCAGAAGTAGGAAGTGTTTAATTTCCAAAAATCCCTTACTGCTGAGGAGGTCATTAGCCTTCCATAGGTGTAAGCTATGCCAACAGGATTTGAGCCATTTCTTATCTCACAGATGAACTGTGGCTGACTATTCTATCTTACTTTGAGACATTTAATTTTCCTCTCAAATATAAAGTCCATCCCAGATTACGTGCTGATCAATTCAATCTCAAGCTCTCGTGTTCTTCTTCTTAAATATTTATGTACTCCAGATTCTCTATTTAATTCATCACATATAAACTTCTGTACAATTAAATCCCTGTGCCACACATCAAGGGTTTTAAGCAGGAAAATTACACATATTCTACCTGGAAAAAAATAATTTAGATACAAACATCTCATAGAATCACAGAATAATGGGGTTGGAAAGGGCCTATAGGGCCATTGAGTCCAACTCCCTACTTAATTCGGGAATTCAAATCCAAATATGTCACAGATTCATACTGTTTTTCTCTTGTTAGACTGAAAAGCCTACTAACTTTAAAAAAATTATCCTTTTTCTTGTGTAAATGGGTATTTCCTAAATCGATTTTCTGCCATTTGAAAGAGTGCTGTGAAAGCATATGGCAGGGAGGACAACTTAAAAATAAAGTGGATATGAGATGCAGCTGTTGTATCTTTCGCCCCCAGTTTACTTACCAGCAGCTGATGGTAAACACTGTTTCCCTACACATAACAAAAGATCTGTAACGGCCAGGAAGACTGCACCGCTTGTATATATAGTTTATTCTTATTCTATTATTATTATTATTGCTCAAGGTCAGTGCAGCAGGAAATGAAAAACAGATCATGGTGCAGGAGAAACAATCAAAGAGAACAGAGCACGAGAAATTGCATAGAAGACATTACATAACCAACCCAGCACCGTGATTGTCTAATTTAAGTAGCACTTTAACAGTGGTTTCACTGCAGGGCTACTTACTAAACTGAAAGTTATAAACAATATTCACAACACCTGTGGTTGTGCAATATAAACATTTTGAATACCAAAAGCATGGATCTGGTAACATGTTGGGGGGAAAAGAGGCTGTCTTATAGGCATTCTGATAGCTTTACCGCTCTGGGATATAAAATAGCTACAACTTTATATAACTGTCAGAAATTATTTGGCACTGCAGAAACAATGAACATTTCATTTATTTTAACCTATTAGGGTTTTGTTTTAAAAACCCAGTTTTCTGCAACTCCGGCCAAGGCATCTTCACTACCTCTTTCCCATGTTCACAGGATGCTCAATAATGTTTCCATTTTGGAAACCTGCCAAGCTCTACTCAACTGCTCCACCAGTTCTGGAACAGCATTCAGTTTCCTACGTCTGGCACAGACCATTTTGGCTGCAACCAGCAAGTTCATCAAAAACATACCCTCTCTTACATCCGCCTCTTACCTAACACCAACCAAGACTATTTCCCCTTCTTTTCTAAACCACCTATATATATTTATTCTATGAGCATATCCCACTAATCTAGGATCTTCAGTCCGTTCCATCACTACGGACTATTTGCATGGCACATTTCCATGCAATCAATTCACTTTATGGATTTTGTTTAATTTCAGTGGTTTTATAAAGAATGCAATGCTGAAGCTATTTTAAACTTGAACACACTGAAAAAGATATCTCCTGTTTGTGATATTAGATTTTATTCCTGGTTAGATATATCATGCTCCATTCCAACATACGCTCTAATTTTCAGCCCTGGTGGGCGGAGTGCTGCCTCTCTCGCGCATGACTCCACCCCTGCATGTATGTGTGACTCCGCCCCCCACTCCACACACTAGGTTCTGTTGCAACCAGAACCTGACGCAATCACTGCATGGAGGAGGAAGACAGCTGCATGCTGGGAGGCAGAGATGTTTGTATGTACACCCAGCTTAGCGGGAACCTTGCTCCATTCCGCTATTCCATATACACTTAAATGTTTACCCTGCCCACTGCTCCAGGCTACTTCCAGTAGCCATGTTATATATTTGTGTAAGGTACTTCTTATGATCCCATGTACTAAGAATTTTGATAATTTTCTTTAAATGAGCCTTGTGAAGGTTCTTTATGACACAAAGGAGGTTCCAGTGACGTTCAAGGTTGTGTTGCAATGAAGGAAGGGAAAGAAGATAGGGGAAGGAAGCTGAAGCTTCTTCACAGGTATGGCCTTTATCTGTAGCAGAAGGGCTTCAGGGCTTGGAAAGCTCATCTCTTTTATGAGTCCCTGAAGTTCATTTCTGAGGCTGGCACAGGAGAGCCGCCAGCATTCCTAGTCTCCTTGCACTTCTTTATATCTGGGACGCCAAAGAAGCTTCTTCTCTCTCCATCTCATTTCACTGTTTTCACTGGCTAAAAAGGATATTTCCTTCATTACAATAAATTGTATCCACATTTTCTACATAGGTCCAGGTTCTGCAAGACTGCCTAAACTTTATAAATTTTAGGCCAGCAGGGATGAGGAACCTCTGGCTCTTAGATGACCCTGAAATACTGTACTAACTTCTGTCACACCTTTCTAGGGCTGATGGTGGGACAGGATGTCAAACATCCAGGGAGAGGCACACATTCTTCATCCTTGCAGTACTGCAAAATACTTTGCTGTCGTCACAATTCTGGATGAGGAGGATCCGTTTGTACTTATTTACTTAATTCAATTCTAGACCACATTTAAGGGCCATCATCTCTCTCTCACACACACACACATTTGTAAAATACACACACACACATGTATGTATGTATGTATGTATGTATGTATGTATGTATGTATGTATGTATGTAAAACATTAATCAAGATTTAAAAATGACTTTAAAAAACATTTTGAAAACATTTTAAACATCTAAATTTCAGCATTCTCTATACCCCTACATATTGCTTAAAAGCTTGCCTGAGAAGGAAAGTCATTGCCTGACAGAAAGACAACAGGGAGGAGACGCACCTGGCTTCTCAAGGCAATGCTTTCTAACGCCTGGAGCAGCCACTAAGAAAGCCCTGTATATACAGCATAAAAGCAACACAATCATACGACTGTAATATAAATAATAGCAAATATAAACAACAGAATAAAGTTTCACCACACACTAATTTGTTCTGGTTAATCCTGCTGGATTTTATTTTAGAATATAATTTTGCTTTATGATTTTTCTCTGGTCAAAAAATGAGAGAAAAGATATTTTTGCCTTGCTCAGACACAACCACCAACAAAAGGAGAAGGAGAAGCCTTTTTTTTCCTTTTCAAGACAATTCTGGGCAACAGTACGTAATACATCCAAGGGGAAATGAAGAATCTGTAATCCATTCTTCATGGATTTTCCTCTTGTTATGAAAACAGGACACAGGTGCAAACAAATAAATACGAGCTTTTAAAAACTGGAACATGGATTTGCTGTATAGGAGAACACCTCCTGCCAATATCCCAAACACCCGTACAACAGATATAGTAGCAATGATAATAATCTTAGAACTATGTGTCCATGTGTCAAGAGAATGGATATTGGACCCAATTGAGAACCTCCTCTGCCTACAACTATGCATCATTGGCCCCTTCTCCAGTTCTTAAAACTCACACTGGGAGGTTTTGCTCTTTGCATTTTTGGCAGAAATCTCAACAGACACCGAAGCATTGCCACAAACACAAAGCTCCAATCAACAACAAAGGAGGATCTCCTATAGCATTGGTCCCCAACCTTGGGCCTCCAGATGTTCTTAGACTACAACTCCCAGAAGTCCTCACCACCATCTCTGCTGACCAGGATTTCTGGGAGTTGAAGTCCAAGAACATCTGGAGGCCCAAGGTTGGGGACCACTGTCCTATAGGACCAATGGGGCAGCTAGGTCTGCTGTCAAGGTTAAGCACTACCTTTAAACATATACTGCCTCAAAGTATTTTTAAGGCCTCTGCTACAGCTACTCGCAACAAAACATTCTTGGGAGCCCTCCAGAACAGTGGGAGAAGGAGCCTGAACTACAAATGAGGGAGTCCAGTCCATCTTTTGAATTTTATGTCTGCTGTGAAATCAATAAATGGCCTCAGGCAAGCCACTGTCTTTCAACCACTATCTCCCCATCTGCAATTTGTAGAATAAAACTAACTTATCTTACAGGGAGGCTGTAGGGGTTATAATTATGTATTTTTTTACCTAATTATTTTCATCCCACCCTCTACCTGGATAACTTCAAAACAATTTTAGACTATCTGAACAACAAAAAGTAATTCAGGAAAACCAAACTAAAACCTGTAATACAGTAGAACAACACAAAGCCACAATCAGTCTCAAATTCCAGGTGAACAGGCAAGTTTTAATTAGCCCTACATTGGCACCACTCAGGCCTCCAAAGTGAAGGGACGCCATGGCCAGAGTGCTGCAGCTGAGAAGGTGTTTTTCCACAGATGCTCCCAACTGTGTAACAAGGATAACTCAACAAATTGTGGTGATCAGGCAGGTATCTAAAAGAAGAGCCACAAGTACTGAGATCTCAAGCTGTATAGAACTTTCCCAGTCATCACTAACACCTTGAACTGAGACCAAATGGATCACCAACCAGTGCAGTTCCCTCAAAACCAGTATACCACAGCTTTTCTATGATGTCATGAACAACTTTCTGGATGTCACATTTTCCAGTAGCTGCAGATTTCATGTGATCCTTAAGAGCAGCCCTAACTAGGCCACACTGCAGTGGTCTTGGTGAATGAAGTTCATCAAAATCACTGCAAACTGCCAAGGTCATTTAAGCATACAGTGACAAAGACAATCCAGTTTTTACTCCAAGACTGCAACTCCTAAGTTATTCATCTCCTCCTTCAGCAAAAATACAGCCCCATCTAATGCAGGTAGATTCGCAGTCTTGGAACCATCAATCCACAGAGGTTCCATTACACAGCTAGCTGTACATAAGGTTAACCATTAATCTTCAGGATGGAGTTCTGGATTGCTTCTGCAAATGAGATGAAATGTTCAAGCAACTCTTCAAGAGTTATTAGTCAGCACCAGTACATGTATCCCCTCATGTAAAGTTTTTTTAATTCCACTATGCATGACTCAAATGAGATGAGGCCGTTCCAGCCTTTAAGATCTTATCTTTGTTCTATTGCCATCACAGACACCTTTGATGAGGATGTAACAGAGGCTGTTCTCTGTGGCTGCTCACAGGTTGTGAAATGCTCTCTTTTGGGAGGTTAGGTCGGCCCCCTCCTTTTTATCCTTCTGCCTACAGCTGAACACCCACCTTTCCAGGCAGGCTTTTAATAACTATGCTGGTTTCACCTGCCCCCCCCCATGCGTTTTTAAAGTTTTAAATGCTTATACATTAATTTATGGATTTTTAAAAGTGCTATTATTTTAAAACTGTAATTTATTGTGCTTTTAGTGTCATTTTTTTTTAACATTGTGAGCCACCTAGAGTTTCCTCCACAGGAGAAAGGCAGCCTTTAAATGATAAAATGTTTCGAAATTATTGAATTAATGTAACAATGCTCACTTACTAATTTCCCATCTGAACAGATATTCTTCTTGACTAGCTTTAAGTCCAGAGGTATACTAAAATAAGTGGAGGATGGTGAATAAAACCAGAGAATGTGTTTATTTTATGTTTCCTACTGAAATGAAAATTACTAGAAGGTTTTTTAAGGTAAACAATTCCAGAACACATTCCCCCCAAAATAAAACCCAACAATAATCAGTATCTATCAATGCCCTTCAGCCTCTTACACTATCCTATTCTATGCCCTTTTATTAACTCAGATGCTGTCCTGTCTGATTTCATTCACAGCTCTGTGCTCTGTTCGAGCACACATGTATGGCCACATTGGAATGATACATATTCAAAAACCAAGGCTCTTCCTCATCTGTCTACTACATAATAGCTTCAAATAGTTTTGACACTAATATGATTACAAAATGGCCTGCAGTTGGGATTTAAAATTTGGACAATGCATTTTCACAGTGTTTTTCTTTCAAATCAGACTCTGTACAGTCGCAAATACGTAGGTTTATTTATGATTATGATCCTTGAACTCCAGTACTAGCATCAAAAAATCTAAACTTCAATGACTATAAACATATTGGATGCGATTTTGAGTAGCGAATAGTTCAAGCGTACACAAAATGAGTACAACTCATGAGGATCATTATTTTCCCAATCCATCCAGTGTGTTTAGTCCCAGAAAGAGAGCCAGATGGAAAATCTGACTGCTGTAAATTCCACAGCTGTGCCTGTCATTTCCAGGACTGTTTTGTTAGTCTCATATATGTTTGTTAACAGCCTAAGGCTATTAAATTCATCAGTCCTCAGTGCATTCTTATGATTACCAGTTGGGTCTCAGATAATATCACTAGCATCCTGGAGACAATTAAGGATTTCCAAATACAATGACAACACACCCACACACAATCATTCCATCTTCTGAATTTAAGGAAAACAAATGAATTGTTTGTTTTAAAAAACAAACAATGAAATTTGCCACTTTTCTAGAAAGAAAGAACATCTGATGGACTAGACGCTATCTTTTGTATTGTTTCTTCTTTAAAGAAGGTGAAAAAATAAACTATCACAGCTGAGTATCAAAGAGAATAGAGTTTGCAAAAACTTCTGGAGTGAGGCCCAAGGGGTGAAGTGTAGCAGCAGAATAGAAGCTGCCTCAGTTAGTGCTGGTGTGATTTTGACAAATGTGGAAAATAATGCTGCCTGAACAAGATGCATTAGACATGATGACATAGTCTACTCCAAAGGGGAAAGGAACTGCATTTAAAATGGCGCAAAAGTCTGTCTCTAAATGTGAATCAGAACCTTGAAATTCAGAACAAGCTCTCAGGGCAGTGTTTTAATATCTATCCACTTTCTCTAGAAAAGTCTGAGGATTCACAGGACTGTTTCCCTCACCACTAAGATAGGTGTCTGGAATGTGGCTACACAAAGAACAGAAGCTGAATGGAATGCTAAAATGGTTTACCCAAAATTGGACAGAAATCAGAAGTAGAGTTGAGAGGCATTTCCATACTGGGTGGCACCAAAGCCCCAAACTCTAGATAACTTCTCGCAGTGGTTTCACATGTATGGTAAACAGCATTGGGGGGGGGGGATGCTGAGAGACTACACAGAGCGATGGTCAGAACACCAAACAGGAATTCCTCAGCACCATCTTCTGAGCTCACACTGACAGAAAGGACCAGAGCTATTATAAAACAGTGCTTCCATCCCAAAAAGGCAACCCAGAACAATATAACAGTTGATAGCACCAAACATTATGAAATGTGCCATAGAACCAACAGACATTCCCTCATCATGGTGATCAAAACTGCCTCCATCCCATAGCCAGATGTGAAGCCAGACTGAAATAGATCTAGACATCTATCTCATCCAGCAATATATCTTATTTTTTAATTCAATTTGTATCCCACTCCCGTTAGTGACACAGCACTACTCCAGTGTACACACACACACACACACACACACACACGTACACACGTACACACACACACACACACACACACACACACACACACACAAAAGCCCCAAACCTGCCAGTCACTGAATAATTAGCACTCAACCCTTGTCTTTGCATTCTCTTTCCCCCTCTCTCCCCCTCTTTGGGGCTTTCTAGTCCACAGTGCCAGAGGTGAAACTGGAAACCAGCCATCTCGGAACAGATTTTGCAGTCCTGGTTTGGGAGCTTGCTTTAAACAAAGAAACTGGCGTCCACATTTGGCCATAGATTTTGGAACGTTCTTTTTTTTTTTCTGTACCACTCCCAGCATGATAACTCAGGCAGAGTCAAAAGCTAGTTTCTTTGTGTAGGATTTTAGCAGACTAATACATTTGAGATTGTAATAACCCATTACAGTGGCATTCAGAGATATTTTTTTCCCAACAAATTCTTACTACAGTACTTGTTCTTTCAGGCAGGCTGAAGCTCTATCTTGTACTGGAGAAGTATTCACCATTCCTCTTACCCATTCTGCCTGTCCCTTTGGCTGCTTTTATGAGCAGGAAGAGCAAAGAATCAGCAGAAAAGTGGTAGTTCACCTTTCCAAGAATTCTGTCCACATTCTCAGTCTGCACAAACTGGAACTTATATGCCTGAGTACAGGACAAGAAGAGCCTGTCTCTATTACATTATCCAAGTCAGAGTGGATTCCAGCAATTTTTAACTGCAAAGTGTTGTGCAAATTCTTCATAGTGGGCTAATTAGTGATCCACATTCTTTTCTTGAGAGATTTTAACCATTCAGAACAGCTCTACTGAATGATTCTATTCAGATTTAACTGTGACAAATAGGGGGACTTCTTCGCTGCCATTACAACCATGGAGCAGATCTTCCAACAGGCTCTGGCCTATAGTCTGTCAAACCTGGTATGAATCTTCTTCCATCATCACTCTAAACTCCACCTCATGCATTTCATTACTGCCAGTTCCCTAGTAAACTAGAGAGCAAATGTGGCTCTCTATTCCATGGAAGAGAAGGCTTCAGAGTCCTGGCCATCTCATCATTTCAGAAGTCAACCAAGACTTCTACCAGGATTGGCTGCTGAGGTAAGAGGAAATTTCCAAAGAGCCACCAGGAAACTATTTGGACTTATACTTCTGGGGTGGATTATCTCTGCCTACCTCTGCAGAGGCTCTGAGTTTTAGTAAGTCTAAACTCAATCAAATAATAATCTACCCCTTTCAGTGGAACATAGGGAATCTCTTGATATTTAAATCACCAACAGCAGAAAACAGTAAGAAAAAACAAGGTACACAGTCTGTCCTGCACTTGGGCCAAACCCCTGGTTGTCATGGAGGACACTGCATCCTAAGCTACTCCTGTTCAGTATGGACACTGAAATTTCCCAGCATGACAACTCAAGGAGATTCCAGTGTTATATCTGAGACAAACTCAGGAGGAAGATGGCCTCACAGTGGGGGTGGATGGTACTATACCAACAGAATCTTTCATTTTGTCCTGGAAACCCACCTTTAGATACATACACTCTAACCAGCACACTGACACCTGGTCTCTCTCTGTGAGCACAGTCACCGGAGACTAAGACAACTCTGCCTGCACCACCCTTGCCTAGCTGTTCTACTTCACAGAAAACCCAGGCAGAAAGAGTTGAGAGAGATTATACTCCCCCACTTCATCCCAACCCAGATGTCTGTGGTGCAGGCCAGGTCAGCCTACTCATCCAGGATCAAATCAGTTGTTTTGTTATTCATTGACCTGACATTAAGAAACAACATTTTCAACCCTCCTAACTGATATATTGGCACACATAAGAGCTAATTCTTCTGTGAGCCAAGTATTTGCATTCTAAAATACATGAGGTCTTTATATTTTGTTTAAAGCACCAAGCTTTTGTTTTTGTTATTTTGGTTAGTGCAACAGAAATCTGTTCAGAGGCTATCATCTGCAAGGGCTAGTTTATTAAGACAATACAATATTTAGGCCATAAAACATTTTGGTTTTTTAAACAATTAGTAACCAAAACTAGACTATGATCCAGAAACCTGCTGCAAAAGGAGGTTGAGGGAAGCCTGATTCCCCACCCCTCCTTTTGTCACCCAGTCACACAACGTCCAAAAAATGATTCCTCAAGGGGCAGAGGAATCTGCTTAGCGAGGTGAACAGGAGGAGGAGAAGGGAGATCACAGAAAATTGGGAATCCACTCAGTAGGTTCTCTCCCCATCCTGCTAGGGGAACTGTTTCCGAGGAAGCTCTGGGACTGGCAGATAGAAAAGACGGGAAAGA